ATCCCCCCTGGGGGGTGATTTCTCGCTTTCTGTCTCTATGTCTCTCTCTGTCTGGCGAGCGCACGCGCCCTATAGCGAAAACCTCTCCAAAAAAAAAAAAAAGAAAGAAATCGAGAAATCACCCCCCAGGAGGATGGCCACTCTGCAATCCTTTCTCTTCCATTCTCCTCCTGGGATCTTGGGCACACCGCACACGTGCGCAGCGTGAGTTTCAAGTCACCAGGTCTGGGACTCCAACCATGGTCAGCCACGAAGGAGTCCAGCAAGGGAACTGCTACACCATTTGCCACCCCTAAATGGTTAAGCTTTATAAACTAAAAGTGGTCTTGCTCAAGAGGCCGTCCTTTTAACTTCTAAAGGCTACCATCTCTCTCCCCTTAACGCATATCCCTTGCATGAGGTGAAGACTTTCTTTAATGGAAGAAAATATAGAACAACTGTGAAGAATCAGGACCCCCGGTAGACCGGTCACTGAGGTCTGTCCAGCCCAAACCACACCGGCTCTCTGTAACCCACATCTCCCTCATCCCTTAGGGTCCTTATTTGCAATTCTCTTCTTTCACTTGATTGAGTCAATTAAAAACAAAAACAAACACTTGGCTTTCTTTTTGTTCCTTTCTCCCATCTGAGGGCACCAAGCACGTTTAACTGGGGCCCCGCAGACCCACGAGTTCCCTGCGTCTCTGGGGGCGGGGCAAGGCCGGGCGCGCCTGCGCGTAGACCCGCCCCCTTGACGCGCGGCCGCACTTGGCCCTCTGGCTTGCCGTCCTCGCGGCCATGGCGGCTGCCCGGCTCCTCGCGGGGGTGGGGCCGCAGCTGGCGTGGCTGGCTCTGCAGCCGGGAGTCAAACCCCGGCGTCCTTTCTGCACCGCCGTGTCTCCGGCCGCTGGCGTTCGGGGACCTGGCCTCGGTGAGTGTCTGTTCGTCACCCCCGGGCCTTGGGGGTAGAGAGGGCGGAATTCCGGACGCAGGACCGCCGCCGCGGAGGCTGGTTACAGCCTATGCCGGCCGCTTTGCAGGAAAGCCCCGGGCTTGGGTCTGTCCTTCCAGTGTTGCTCGGCCCCTCGTTACGAGTGTCTGCCTCCGAGTCTTCTGGGCGCTTGCTTTCCTCGTGAGCTGTGCCTTCTGATGCCTCCTTCCACGAACCTCCAGGCACAGGCTCTGTAGGTGCTGCTGCTCGGTCGTGTTTGTCGGCCAGTCTTGAACCATGTTTTTCCAGAGCATTAAGAGAAGCACCCAGCTGTGCTGGGAAAGCTTCCGCACCGCTCAGAATTCCTGGCCCCCAGCTGGGTGACCTTCACTCAGCGGGCATGATTGAGGTGACCTTCATTCAACAGAGATTATAGGGATACTTGACAGCTCTTCCCGGAGATCTAGCGGGAAGCGCCGTGTACCCTGAGAGGCGCTGTGATAGGTGTTTGAATGGAGTGACTGGGAAGCACTGGGGAGGAGTCAGCAAGAGTCCTGAAAGACCGCGAGTGAGCAGGTCCAGTCCGTCCCTCTTGTAATCTAATACACCCTCTCTGTAGTCATCACCTCACTGTTGCCCATTTCCCCTCTTGTTCTCCTGCACTGAATTTTCACAGTAGCCCTGGTGAGGTGTTCAAAATGCAAATCTTGACCTGGACTCCCTTATTGAAAATCTACAAATAGTTCCCTTTCGGATATATTACTCTATATATATATTTTTAAAATATAAAAGCTATACAGTGTGTCTGCTCTGCTCTACTGGAGGGATGAAAGCACACCCTCTCCAACACCCCCCACCCCCGTGGGGATGGCCAGACCAATTCCTTCGCCTACATTCTCTTGGGATTTGGGGCATGCATACACACAGGCCCTGCATGTTTATCAAACCGTTGGATCTGGGACTTGAACTACATAGTTGGCTATACCGGATCCAGCTACCTTTTCCACCACACCACTGGCTGGCCCAGGATAAGTTATACATTCTTTAAATGCATCATAGTGGCTCTTCATAGCCATAAGGCTTGTCTATTTTTATTTTTTTCATGCATTTGTTTTTCCTTCTGGAAATACTTAACTCACTTCTCTCAGAATGCAATATTTGCGCAGAGTCCAGGACCGTGCAAAGATCTAGGGGAAAGAGCATTGTTGGCATAGGGAACCCAAGTGCATGAGCCCAAAGATGAGAGCAAGCTTAGGGGTGATCAATGAGCAGACAAAAAGGTCGACATGGCTAGATGAATAAAGGGGGTATACTAGACATCAGAGAGTTAAGTGTGGCTTGATATTTTACACACACACATACACACACACATATATCTTTAACTTTGTTATTATTTTTTAATTTGATCAGAGAGAGAGAGAGAGAGAGAGAGGGAAAGTGAGAAAGCAAGCCGTGAGGTCTGGGACTTGAACTGCAGTTGGACATGTGCAAGTCTAACACCTTAACTACCATGCCACCTGTTGGCCCCATGGCTTGACCTTATAAGAGCAAGGGCTTTAGGCATTTCATTTTTATTTATTATATATTTTTAAAGAATTAATTAATTAATTAATTAATTAATTTGACCAGAGAAAGAGCATGTGAGAAAGTGAGCCACTAGGTCCTGACTCTAACCACAGGTGGTCACGTGGGAGTCCAGCACCCTTAACCACCATACCACCTGCCAACCCCTCATTTTTACTTTTGACTTGGGCTTTCTTACAAGTTTGCGATCAGAAAGCAAGCATTGAGCAGAGAAGTGTTACAGTGTGATTCAGTTTAAAAAGATCACTTGCTGCTTTGCAAACCAATTTTAGCAGGTTAAGAATGGAATCCAGGCCCAGCTGTGGTGGCAGACAGAGTGCCACTGCACAGTACTGGAGCCATATGGGAAGACCCAGGGTTTGAATCCTGGATTGACCTGAACATACCAGGGCACACTTGTAATTCTAGCTGGCCGGAAGGCTGAGGGGAGGATCACAGTGTGACAAGATCCTGCTGGGTGCCCTTCCACTCCTTCTTCTCATATGAAAGAAAGAAATACACAAACTAAAAAAGCAGAGTGAAAGCGAGAGACACGTTTATAGGCTGTTGTAGTAGTCCAAATGAATGATGGTGACTGGAATGGGGTAACATTGGAGAAAGTGGTGTGGTTGAATTTGAGATGTATTGGGTTGTTGGGAAAGTCATGATACATTTTAGCATAGAAAATATATCTTGACTTTTCAGACAACCCAGTATTTTGAAGGTAGAACTGATAGGTCTTACTGATGGATTTATTGGGGGACTTGATGACAAGTCTTGAGAAAGCCTGTTAGATTTTTGTCCTGAGCTGTTGGATGAATGGTAATACCACTTACCTCCTGCTCATCCAACAGGGTTTTTGTTTTGTTTTGTTTTGTTTGTTTGTTTTGAGAGATGTTTTTGCTCTAGGGCACGTGGGCTCATCGAAGAGACAAAGAGAGACAGAGACAGAAAGCGAGAAATCAACCCCCATGGGGATGGCCACACTGCAGTCCCTTCTCGGGATTTTGGGTACAAACGCACATGTCCTGGAGTGAGTTTTAAGCCACTGGGAACTGTGGTCAGCTATGTAGGAGTCCAACAACATAACCATTATACCATCTGCTGGTCCCATTAATTTTATTTATTTTAATTTGACCTGAGAAAGAGAGAGATTGGGAAAGTGAGAAAGCAAGCTGCTAGGTTAAGGACTTGAACTTCGGTGGTCCATGCCTAAATCCGTCCACGCGGAGTCCAGTGCCTTAATCACCATGCCACCTACTGCCCCTTAGTTTTTGGCTTTTGAAGTTCATTTCTTTGGGGAGATTGTTTTCCCAGCTACACTAGTAAAGTTCTCCAGAGAAGCAGAACCAATGGGATGGATGAATGGATAGATGGATGGATGGATGGATGGATGGAAAGGGATTTATTAGAGGAATTGGCTCATGATTATAGAGGCTCAGAAGTCCCATAGCAGGCCATCTGCAAACTGTAGGCCCGTGGATGCCTATGGCATAGCTCAGTCACAGGTCAAACTCTTCAGAATCAGAGAACCAGATGTTTTAACTCTTGGTTTGAGGCCAAGGCCTGAGACCCTTGAGGGTTGCTGGTGTAAGTCCTAAAGTCCAAAGGCTGAAGAACCTGGAGTTCTGTCATCCTATGGTAGGAAAAGAAGAGTCCTAGCTCCAGGAGAAAGAGTGAGAGCGCTAATTGCTTTTTCCACGCATTTTTGTTCTATCTGGTCCCCAGCTGATTGGGTAGTACCAACCCACATGGATTTGTAGCTCTGTAGATCTGTAGATCTTCCTACTCAGTCCCTCTTCTCTGGAAACACCCTGATAGACACTTCCAGAAATAATGCTTTACCAGCTATCTAGATATCTCTTAATTCTGTCAACACTTAAAATTAATCATCACACCAACTTACTGACTAGGTCCAGGTCTCTGCTATATGTGTCCATAAAACTTGTGTTTATTGAAATTATTAAAATACTGTGTTCTTTTTTTTTTTTTTTTTTTTTTTACCTATTCTACATTCTGTGAGAGGAAGGATTGTGATTATCTTGTTCATTGCTGCCTTCCCAGTTTGTGGTACACAGCGGCACTCAAATGATTTTTGAATGAGTGAGTGGATTAATATCGCCAGATGAGTAGGAATTTGTCATGAAGCAGTGGGGTGAGGAGGAAGGAAGGGGCAGAAGCTAGATAAGAAGGGAAGAATGTTCCAAGCAGAGAGAACAGGAAGTTCAGAGTCTTTCTGTTCCTGGAAGTTCAGGGTAGCTGAAGCCAGAGAGCGTGGTGGAGAGCGTGGAGGGTCTCGTATCCTGTGCAAGGTGACCTCAACTCCTGCTGCTTAGTTTTCTTGACTGTGACTACTAAATAAGGATGACATTAGTCCTTATATTTGATGTTATGAATAAGATTGAATGAGATGATAATGAAAACATTTAACACAGTGTCTGAATGTCAGCTTTTATTAATAATTATTTATTTTATTTCATTTATTTATTATTTAATTTGACGAGGGAGAGGGAGAGAGAGGGAGGGAGAGATTGAGAGAGAAGTAAAGTCAGAACGCAAGCCACCAGGTCCGGGACTGGAACCACAGCTGGCCATGTGGGAGTCCAGGAGTTCGACTGCCATAGCTCCTGCTGGCCGCATAACCATGTATTTTTGTAATGTGACTGTGTCAAATGAATTATCTTTAAAGATGCCAAATACGTATTTCTAACTAGATATTTTAACCTGGGAAAGTGAGTTTATTTAACTGTGAACTTAAAACTTACTGAAAATATTTCTTTAATGGTAAGTTTTACTATATCAGCAATCACAATAAACTTTATTCAGATAATTAGAGTTTTCTTAACTATTTCTGTGTTACTAAACACCTTAATTGTGTTAGAATGATGGGATCATGATTAATGTTGAACAACTTTACAATATAAAAATTCTCTATAACTACTTTGTTGTCTTTTAGGTCCAATAGGCAGAAAAGGCAGAGGTGAAAGGCTACAGAAGAGAAAGGTAAACAACTTACATGCTGTTTAGTTCACCTTAGTAACTTCATCTCTCTTCACACAGCTACCATAGCATATTTTTTTTTTAATTTTATTTTAGAGAGATTTTTGCTATACGGTGCACGTGCTTGTTAGAGAGACAGAGACAGAGAGAGAAAGTGAGAAATCACCTTCCAGGGGAAATGGCCACACTGTGGTCTCTCCTCTGTTCTCCTCTTGGGATTTTGGGCACACACGCACATGTGCCTGGCATTAACTTTAAGTCTCTGGGTCCAGGATTCAAACCACGGTTAACTGTAGAAGTCCAGCGATGTAACCATTACGCCATCCTCTGGTCCTAGCCATAGCCTATCTTAATGCTTTCTGAAGTTCTGAAGTGAGACAGTGAGTGCTGCAGAGAAGGCCTCACAGGGTCATGGTTACTGGATGACTGCCACAGCCCTGGCAGGGTTAGTCTTTGACTGTCTTTGGTCAGTACTCAGAAAATCGATCATGTTTGGAAGGTAGACCCACTCATGGTCTCCCAGGAAACAGGTGTATTAGCCAAAATATAGACTAGTTTTTGATGATATCTCTAACAGTCCTGCAGCCTGGGGATTATGGATTAATCTCACCAGTTTAGTTTCACTCCGTGGACATCTCTGTAGAGGAATCCAGACTATAAGGTCAGTTGATGAGCCTGGAGTCAGAACAAAGTCACATTAGTTGAAAGTTAAATGGCATCAATTACAGTAATTTAAAATAGAAATATTACCTGCTTCTAGAACACAGGAGGAGTCTTTAGAAAGATGGATTTCAGGCCTGCAGGTGGTGTGGAGGTTAAGATGCTGGGTCCCACATAGCTGCAGTTTGAGACCTGGACTTAGTGGCATGAAAGTCACACTGGGCGTGTGTACCTGCATGCATGCCCAAAATCCTGAGAGGAGAATGGACGAGAAGGGATTGCAGCATGGCCATTTCCCCTTGGGAGTGATTTCTCACTTTCTCTCTCAGACTGTTTCTCTTTAGTGAGTGCATGTCCGCTATAGCAAAAACTGGGGGGAAAAAACAATGAATTTCAAATGGTTTGCATCTAGATAAACTTGTACTTTGATACCATTTTTGCACAAACTTTTGAAAAGTTTGTTTATTTATTTAGTTTTTGCTATAGGGTACATGTACTCTCAAGAGAGATGGAGGTGGAGGGGGCAATCCCTTCATCTCTCTCCTCGGGATTTTGCTCATTTATGCACCTGGAGCGTTTCCATGTGAGTCAGCCTCATGGTTTACCTCTGCCATCTTCTTTCCATGAGCTTTTTGAAATCTCCTTGTATTCCACACTGCTTTTGATGTTGCTTTGGTGAGCATTGCTGAATTTTGCCATTTTAAAACTTTCATATGTTGGGACCAGCAAATGGCGTAGTGGTTACATCACTGGACTGCCACATGGCTGACCATGATTTGAGTCTCAGACCCGGGAGCTTGAAAATCACTCTGGACACGTGTGCATGCGTGCCCAGGATCCTGGGAGGAGAATGGAGAAGGGATTGCAGCCATGCCCCTGGGGGATGGTTTCTTACTTTCCCTCTCACTGTCTTTCTCTGGCCAATGTATGTACGCTAAGGCAAAAACTTTCCAAAAACAAAAATACTTCTGTATCTTGGCCATCCCCTTTTATATAACACAATTTTTTTCCTAAGAATTATTTATTTTATTATTATTATTATTTTTCACATGAGTTTGCCAGAGAAATAAAGAGAGAAAGAGAAAGCAAGTCGTGAGGTCTAGGACTCAAGCCACTGTTGGCCATGTGGAAATTCCAGCATCTTAACCACCATGCCACCTGCTAGCCCCTTAACACAGTTCTGAACGTATATTAGATTGTCGGGGAAAGTCATGATGCATTTTTGCATAGAAAAACATATCAGTGGAAAAATACATAATGACTGTCCTGACCACCTAATAGATGTATTGAGGCCAGCAAATGGCGTGGTAGGTGGAGTGCTGGACTTCCACATGGCCGACTAAGGTTCAAGTTCTGGACTTGGCAGCTTGCTTTCTCATTCTCCCTCCCTCTCTCTGGTCAAATTAAAGAATAATGATAATTAATAAACTAAATAATTATTTAAAAAATATATATAGTTGTATGTTACACCAGGTGATGATTGAGGGTTTGGTTCACGGGTTGGCCTGGTGAGTCATATTAAATGCTTAGTTTGATAGTAACTATCAGGTTGTTGAAAAAGTCATGATGCATTTTTAAATAGAAATGCATAGAAAAATACGTTGTGGGGACCAGCAGATGGCGTAATGGTTATGTTGCTGGACTGATGGAGTCCCAGACCTAACAGCTTTAAACTCACCCTTGGCATGTGTGCATGTGTGCCCAGAATCCCCAGAGGAAAATGAAGGGGAAGGGATTACAGCATGAACATCTCCTTTTGGGCTGATTTCTCACTTTCTGTCTCTCTTGACGAGCCCAAGTGCCCTATAACAAAAATCTCTCTAAAGAAAAAAAAGAAAAACACACCACGACTGTTCTGACGACCCAGTGTTAGGATTTATGAACAGGCTGGGCCCATGTGCCCATGATACTGGCTGGCTGGGAAGGCCTCAGGAGATTGCAGTGCGGGACTTCATTGTCCTTAGATCTCTGTCTTTCACATAGGGATAAAATAAATAAACTTTCAAAAGCAGTAAAATATGTGTTCATGGGATTTATTAAGCTATCAAATATTTTTTTCTAGGCCTAGGAGACGTATAATTTCTCAACTATTTATTCACTCAGTTTAACCTTAATTTCTTATTTCCAAGTTCTTTTTTTTAAAAATAATTATTTTATTTAACTTAATTTATTTAATTAATTAATTTTATTTTAATTCTACCAGAGAGGGACAGAGTGAGAGAGAAAGAGAGAGAGAGACAGAGAGAAGGAAAGTGAGAAAGCAAGCCACCAGACTCGACCTGTGGTCGGCCGTGTGGGAGTTCAGTGCCCTCAACCACTATTGCCACCTAACAGCCCCTATTTCCAAGTTCTTAATGTTCCATCATGTACTGACTTCCATTAGATACATTTTTGCTTTGTTTTTACTTTCGTTTTTATTTTTTAAAGTTTTTGTCATAGGACACATGCGCTTGCTGGGTAAGAATGTGAGAGGGAAAGTGAGAAATCACCCCCCAGGGGATTGGCCACTCTGCAGTCTCTTCTCCTTCATTCTCCTGAGATTTTGGACATGCATGGACATACGCCTGATGTGAGTCTCAAGCTGCCAGGTCTGGGACTCAAGCTGTGTTTCACCATGTAGGTGTCCAGTGCCTCAGCTGCCATGCCGTCTGCTACCCCCATCCAAGAGGTTTTTCTTTCTTTTTTTTTTTTAAAGAATTATTTTATTAGACTTTACTATTTATTTATTTATTTTTAAATTTGACCAGAGAGGGACAGAGAGAGAGAGAGAGCGAGAGAGAGAGAGAAAGAAGTGCCCTGAGAAAGCAAGCTGCCGGGTCTAGAATTTGAATTGTGGTCAGCCATGTGGGAGTCCAGTGCCCTTAACTACCACACCACCTGCTGACCCCAAGAAGTTTTAAAAATTATTTTAAAATATATTAACTCACTCTTTCATAAACAAAATGTAAAATTTTACTAAAAGTCTAAGTGAATAAGTAGAGAAATTTTTAGTGAAGGAAATGTGATATTAAAGTTTCAAAGAAATAGTGCAGAGATACTCAGGTAGGTTTGGTGTTTTTCATTTGAACAGCAGCAGCTTTGTGGGAGGTCAGTTCTTCCATAAGTTGTTTTTCTGTGTTTATTTCTTGTAATTTCAGCTTTTTGCTTCAAAGTTACAGAATGTATTTACATTTAAAATATTAAACTATTTTGTTTCTTAGGCACTACCTCCCAGGACAGAGAAAATGGCTGTTGACCAGGACTGGCCTAGTGTTTACCCTGTTGCAGCGCCATTTAAACCCTCTGCAGTACCTCTTCCTGTCCGGATGGGTTATCCAGTGAAAAGGGGCGTGCCCATGGCAAAGGAGGGGAATCTAGAACTTTTAAAGGTAAGGTATATTGCTGATTTTTGTCTAAAGCTTATACCTAAATAAATGCTGATCTTGTCTCCTCTTCAACTCTTCTCCCTTAATATTTGAAGATTGAACATATTGCAGCTTCTTTTATTTTAATTAAATTTTTTTCTCAAGTAATAATGGATGTTGCTCTTTGATTATCCATGGTAAGGAAGACCCAAAGAATCCTAGGCATTTAAAAATGCAAATCATTTTAGTTTTATGACTTCTATTGTGGTCTTTTCCATTGTATCTTTTCTATATTTTATTTTCCAAGTAGAAAAAGAGTGAAATAACCTAATTTGAGATTGAGAATTCAGAGGTAAAGATGCCACTTTTTTAAAAAAATGTTATTTATAATTATTGTTATTTTTAATTTGTTCAGAGAGAGAAAGAGCAAGCAAGAAAGCTAGCCACCAAGTCTAGGATTTGAACCGTGGTCAGCCATGTGGGAGTCCAGTGCTTTTAACTACTACGTTACCTGCCAGCCCCGAAGATGCCACTTTTAGAAAAGGGATTTTAAACTTTTTGTCCAGAATGGTAGAATATTATTTAGTAGTATTATTATAGTCCATGAACTCTATTTTCTTTATTTCTTGAAGTAAAATAGTCATTTTAAATGCTTAGTTTGATAGTAACTATAATGATTTATAAACTGTATGTTTTTGTTTTTGTTTTTAAGAAATGTAAATGGTTTTGGACCAGCCAGTAGCATGGTAGTTAAGGTGGCTGAATCCCACATGGCTGACTGCATAGTTTGAGTTCTGGACCTGGTATTTTGAAAAACATGCCAAGTATGCGTGCCTAAAACCGTGAAAGAAAAATGGAGGAGAAGGGACTGTGGCATGGTCATAGCCCATGGGGGGGGTTTGCCTGTCTCTCTATCTGTCTTTCTCAGGTGAGTGCACTTGCCCTATAGCAAAGGAAAATATAAATTTCTGTCAGAGAATGCATTTCCTAAATGATTTCCTTGTTTCTTTTCTTTTTTTGGAGAGGTTTTCGCTATAGGGCATGTGCCCTTGCCAGAAAGACTGAGAAAGACAGAGAGGCAGAAAGCGAGAAATCACCCCCCAGGGGGGATGGCCACGCCACAATCCCTTCTGCTCCATTCTCCTCTTGGGATCTTGGGCACGCACGCACATGCACCCCACGTGAGTTTAAGCCACCCGGTCTAGGACTTGAACCATGGTCGACTACATGGGAGGCCAGTGACATAGCCATTACACTTAACTGCTGGTCCCATGATTTCCTTTTATATACAATGGAAGTTATCATACAATGGAAAACAACTGTGAAAATCATCTTAAAAAAAAAAAAACCAAGAGAAATCTGCTAAAAGATGATGGCAAAAAACGAGATGGGGGCCTGGCACTGTGGTTCA